TTTTTTTTGTAGTTTTTATTATTGTTGTTATTCTAGTGGCAAAAGACATAACTGTTCTATGTGATACATTTACAGAATAATTTATCTATCACTTATAGTTATTATAAGATTAGATATATTCATGGATGATGAATATTCACAATTTTCACAATTCTCATATTTTTCTGTTTACAAATAGATGTTCACTTTTTCTATGACATACATTTTCCACCACTAACTAATATTCCAAGGAGCCCTGGTGGTGGAGTGAGTGTTAAAGCACTTGGCTGTTAACCGAAAGGTCAACTGTTTGAACCCACCATCTGCTCCACTGGAGAAAGATACAGCAGTCTTCTTCTGTAAAGGTCTACAGCCTTGGAAACACTATGGGGGAGTTCTACTCTGTCCTGTAGGGTTGCTATGAGTTGGAATCAACTGCATGGCAGTGGGTTTGGTTTTTTGTTTTTGAATATTTGATAGCATGTAGTCCTGGTGTCACAGTGGTTAAGCACTCAGATGCTAACCAAAAGGTCAGCGGTTTGAACCTACCAGCTGCTCTGTGGGAAAAAGATGTGGCAGTCTGTTTAGGTAAAGATTTATAGCCTTGGAAGCCCCATGGAGTGGAGTATGCAGTTTACTCTGTCCTGTAGGATCTCTATGTGTCAGAATCGACGGGAAGGCAGTGGGTTTTGGTAACCAATATTCCATGATCATTTTTCCAAGTAATCATTTTTAGATCTACCTGCATCTTTTAAAGAAGTGCATAATGCTTTATAATGCAGTTACATTACAACTTTTTAAAAATACATTTCTCTATTGATATGCATTTTGGGATTACATATTTAGTTGTTGCTGTTACCAGAGCAACATTTATGTCCTTGTCTTTATTTCTACTGTGTCCTATAGGGTTGCTATGAGTCAGAATCGACTTGAAACAGTGGGTTGATTGGCTTTATATTTTTACATATTTATAGAAATAATGGTTTAGGCTCGATGTCTAAGTTGTTTTGCTGGATCATAGAATACATACATTTAAACCACAAATTGATTGGCTCAGCAAAATTTCTTCGCAAATTATTGGATTGTTTTGCATTAATCACAAGGGACTGCTCATGTGTTCACACCATCACTGATACTTCACACCATCACTAGTGCTGTCAATTTTTTATTATCTTGTCAATTTTCTAAGTTATAAGTTGTTTTTATTATATTAATTGCATTTTAAGTATTAGAGAAGCAAGCAGTTTTTAATATATTTGATTATTTACATTTTCTTTGGAATTGTCTATTCATTATTTTTATCCAATTTTATCTTTTATTGATTTTTAGAAGTTTCTTATTTTTTGTCTTTTTTGTGTGGCAAATATTTTTCTCACAGACAGTTTGTCTTTTAACTTTGTTTATGACGTCATTTCCCATATAGAAATTTCCACCTTTATTTAATCAAATCTGTCAGAGTTTTCCTTGGTGGTTTATGAATGAATTCATATTATTTTTCAAAGATCTTCCTATTTCCAAGATTTTAAAATAGTCCTCCATATTTTCTTTTAATAATCTTATGATTTTATATATTTAAATTGTTAATCTCTTTGGAGTTTATTTTTATGTCTGCTGTGAGAGAATGACTAGCCTTCATTTTCTTTGAAGTAGTCAGCCAAACTTCCTAATGGCCTCTTACTTGAAAATTCCG